AGGTTCCTGTGCGTGGCTTAGACCTGCCCTCTATTCTGGTCTGCCCAGACCCATTTCTATAGGCAAAAGATGTCAGCCAGGCTCTGTTTCCTCTCCTGCAAAAGAGCCGATCGATTAACAACAGAAGGCAAGATGAGCTGTGGAGCTGGGGCTCCCGCCTGGGAGAGAAGAGGGTCAGGCACTGTACCGCTGCCTGGTTGCCTGCCTGACAGTGTTATTACACTTCTCCCTTTGCAACCCACAGAGTTAATGGCAGAGGAGAAACCTCTGGGTGCCAGGCTTGGTGGACTGCCCAGCGAGGTAGTTTGCAGCCACGCAGCATTATTAAAATGGAATAATCAATAGACCCCAAGGGCACGGAGGACAATGACCCCTTGCAAGGCTCACGCAGTCATTTTACGCTGAGAGTTGCTGATGTGATTAGCAAAGCACCAAGCGCAACATCAGAGGCATCCTGCAGCACCGATTATGTTTCCATGTCCTTCTCCACCTTGGCTTCTTCTAACAGATGCTTCTGTATAGGAAGGAGGCTGACAGCTCGCTACCCATCTCCGAGGCTAGGGTCTCTTTCCCCTTTACACCCTGTAATGTGGAGCAACCTGGGCCTAAAGCTCTTGGGCAGGAGACCTGGGTGTGATTCTCAGCTGGCCAGGCTGGCATCACAGGTGAGGGGGGAGACGTTCTGGGGTTACGAGACCCAGCAAATCCCAGTGGCGCTGCAATGGTCCCTCACAGCCCTGCCTAAGCCTCCTCCCTCTCTCTTCCTGAGCTCGCCATGTCCCTGCTTCCTGGGGGAAGGCAGCGAATCCATTTGCCTTTGCGTGACAGGACCCAGAGGGACGCTTAGGATGTGTTCAGTCCTGTGCACCAGGAAGCCGTCTCCCCCATCCACAGCAGAAGTGGTTTGGTAGCTCCAAAGGGTTCTCTGCCTAGCCCTCTCCCCAGAAGGCAGCAGCTACATAAGGGAGGGAGCGCAGCCAGGACGGCATCTGGGATGGAGAAGACTCTGGATCCAGATAGACACTGCAGCTCATTCCTCCACCCAGGCCAGGGGTGGTCTTTGGGGCAGATGTTTCAACCTGAGCGATGGGAGTGCAGAGGTTGATAATGGAGTCACTTGAGACTTGGGGCTAGTGCCCCCAAAACCCTTGTAAAAGATACCACAGGAGCCTACAGTGGTTGGGGCCATGGTTTTGCATCACTTTTGACACTGTCTGCAGAACCATAGTGACAAAGTACCCCCTAATTACCCATCCACTGCACCCTGCAGGAGTTTCCTTGGAAGTCTCCCCTCCATGCTCTCACCCGGTCTGACCCTATTTCGCTTGCAGGACCTGTCACACAGTGGCCCCAATCAGTTATGCACCTCTGCCAGGCCTTTTCAACCTGCATGTATTCCACTTTCAGGTACAAAACTAGAAAACTAACTTCTCAAGAAAAGCTTCTTGCTACCAGCCCTGCCAAGCCAAAGAACAAGTCAGAGCCTCTTAAGTCTCACGGCCCCTGCGATGAATAATTAGTGCGATCCCGACGTCAGGATCTGCAGCTTGAGAAGCGATCTTGATATCAGGAAGGGTCTGAATTGGTGACTCTCGGATAACTGATTCAGTCAATTAAAAGAGACTGAAAGAAAGTGCAGCTGGTTTCACAAAACTCTAAGAGAACGGAGCTGTCAGGAGCACACCCGGGAGAGCCCTGGCCATGCAGCCATTCACCATTAAAGAAAATTTAGGCAAAGAAGGACACTGCTGCTTCAGTTTCCTCTCTACTTACCTGAGCGTCTGCTCCCCAAGCCGCCTCCACTTCGGTGGCGAGCTGCCCTGGTCCGAGTCCCCTGAGCTGGGGGCATGTCTCCCATGCCGCTTCTGGGGATGCTGCAGTTTGCACCGAGCGCCCTTCGGACAGACGCCTTTCTTGGCAAAGTCAGGGCACACCAGGGTGTGCTTCTTCTTGCACTGGAAAGAAAAGGACACAGCACTGTGAAGAGCTTCTACGTGCAAACACGCCACAAGTCCTCGCTTTCCCAAAGACCTGCGCGGCAAGTTAATGAAGAGAGGCTGTTTCCTTCAGGTGGCACTAACAGATCATTAAAGACAATGGGAAAATGACTGCTCCACTGTTTCCTTTCTAGGCCTGGGCAAGACCGGAGGCTGTTCCTCGTTCCCTGCAAATGCCAGGGGCCGTTCAGACTTGCTCTTTGGGTTCCAAGTGCATGGTCTGTGCACCCCGGTTTGCTAGTCGCCAACCATTAAATCCTATCCACTTTGCCTTCCCCTAAAGAGGCCATTGTAGAGATACCCTGCATGGAAAGCAGGTGACAGTTTTTCCTGGGATGGTAATATCTCCCTCGGTCACCCATATCTGGAGCTCAGGGAGGAGAGAAGAGAAGCAGGGAAGAATAAGGTTCCCTCTTCTCAAAGTTAATCCATTTTGGGCTGCTGCTCGGGGCACCTTCCTGCCAGAGGGAGGCCAGGGTTTAGGGGCTGGCGTCAGGCCTTTGCCATTGCAAAGGGCTGGTGACAAGCAGGTGCCTGACACCACGTCTGCCCGGGATCTTGGGGAAAGGGTTGTGCTCCATCGTGGCAGAGATCTGCAGCCGGGGTACATCCAACACGTGCCAATCGCTACCAGACTGTGCCCTTCACCTAGTCCTCAGTGGGAGCTTGGGGCAACGGGGCTTGGAGACAGAGAAAGAAAACAGAGGTTTCCTCGAGGTGATCTGCTGCAGCGCTGAACCACCCTCGGCGAGAAACTTCTCCCTAATCTCCAACCAAAACCTCCCTTGGTACAAGTTAAGCCCATTACTACTTATCCTGTCCCCTGTGGACACGGGGAACAATTGATCCCCGTCCTCTTTATAACCACCCTCTTTGCATTTGAAGACTGCTCTCAAATCCCCCCCTCTGTCTTCTCTGCTACAGAATAAATAATCCCAGGTCTTCCCATTTGCCTTCACACATTTGGGGAGGGACAGAGGAGGCAAGGGGACGTCTGTGGTTGTTTCCAGGGCAGGGAGGAGAGGTGCAAAGGACCACGACCCCTGGGCTGCTGCTGCTGGCTTTGCTTAGGAGAATATGCTTGCTCTGAAGTGAATTGGGGGAGTCAGGTTTGAAGCATAAAATGCTGCTCTAAAAGGAGGGGCCTGCACAGGAGCTAGGCTTGGCACCGGTCTCTCCTGGCGTGAGGAGACGGCTGGCAGCCTGCCCTCAAGAGTGTCTCCTGCCCTTGCAGCAAGCCGAGTCCTCCGAACGCCAGGACCTTGGAGACTCTTTTGGCCAAGGTTAACCAGAAACAGTTAACCAGTCGGCAGCATCAATACACAATTCCCTTAGCACATGCCCAGCTAAGTCCTGCTACACCGCTACAATTGTGCGTGCAAAAAGGAGATAGCCGAGGGACCTGGGCTGATCGAGTCTGGAGAAGAGAAGACCGAGGGGGATTGAATAGCAGCCTTCACCTCCCTGCAGGGGGGCTGCAAAGAGGATGGAGCTGGGCTGATCTCAGGGGGGCAGGTGGCAGGACAAGGAGCAATGGGCTCAAGCTGCAGCAAGGGGAGTTGAGGTTGGATATTAGGAAAAACTCTCTCACAAGGAGGGTAGGGAAGCACAGGAACAGGCTACCCAGGGAGTCTCCATCCTTGGCGGTGTTGAAGACCCGGATTGACAAAGCCCTGGCAGGGATGATGTAGTTGGGGCGGTTCCTGCTTGGAGCAGGGCGTTGGACTAGATGTGACCTCCTGAGCTCCCTTCAACCTCATTGTCTATGATTCTCTATCAGTTCAGTTACTTGAATTGCACACCCACAGTCATGGTAACCACAGGAACAAGCAGGTAGACATCCAGCTAGTAAAGTGAGCGCACAGCGGATGCAATCGCACACACTATAAAGAAATAAGCTTTTAATTGCAAAGCCAGAGACAG